GGGGGGGGGGGGGGGGCATTTCCTGCACCCAGGGTAGATTTATGAAGTTATTCCGTATGGCAGTTACTACTAGTTGTAGCTGGGCAGTGCTGCATGCATGCTTGTGCGTTGCAGTAACATTTTGATGAAGTCTTTTTTTTTCATTATCTCGAACCAGGTAATGTTGTCCTTTGGTGCAGCTCCTGTCAGTAGTTGTGGAAAAGGGAACAGCAGTGCATTACCAGATTATCTTCCAGAGGAAGATGACAATGTAGTTATTTCTGACAAGGTAAGCAAGAGACACAGAAATTCATGTTTTTAACTCAGTCCCTATCTAACCATTTTTTTCCTTTAGGCAATTGCAAGGGTTGGAGGAAATGACAAAGAAAATGGATGGTTTTCCAGTGTGTCAAGTTTCTTTAGCAAGACACTGTATTGGTGAAAATACAAAAGAAACTGATTTATAAATGTTTGTACATACCTAGCTAGATGGACAAAGAGTGTTAACCTGATTATTTCTGGTAAAGATAATTTGTTTTTGTCCAGATCCCTAGTTTTGATCAGTCCTCCACTGTTAAGATTTACACAACTAACTTCAACACTCCAAACCAAGGTTAAAACTTGTTTGGTTGAACTGTTAGTAACAAGGCTATAAAACAAAATGTTTTCTCTATGGCCAAGTCAAATTGTATGACACCACCCACAGCTTTAAATTTATACACAGCTGGGTGTTTTAATCAGCTCCCAGCAAACAGCATGGACTGGAAATGAAATCATCGCAGTACTCTAAATTACTTTAAAGTTATTGATTGTCATTATTGTCTTTTCATTCCATGCTTGAAGATTTGGCCAAAAATTTGGCATTTAAGAAACAGTGTTAGTAACAACGAAAAGCTTACAGTTAATTTTACAGTGTATCATAAAAGGCAGGTTCAATTCTTAATTTCTATTGTGGAAAGGACACAGTGCGAACTAGGCTTAAACATTTAATTTGTAAATAGTTGCAAATGTTAACATCTGTGTACCACTAACAATAAATTGGAGGTTTTAAAATCAGCTGTTTTACATCATTTTTCACATTTGTATCTGGCTCACTGCATAGACAGGTTAACATTATCCGTAGAAGTGTGATGAATATCACTTGACATGTGGGCAACCTCATTGTACCCTCTTAGAGAATCCTGATTCTCTCACAAGCGACAACTAGATGCAAGCATCCCAAAGTACTATAAGTCCAGGGGGAACTCCCATTTAAAAGGGACAGGGGCCCCCTAGAAGGTACCAGGATCCTGTTTAGTGGGCATGGCTTGAAATATTTTTTGCCCCTGTGAGGTACCAATTCTAAAATATCACTAATTTCCTAGGCTTAACACCCTAAGAGGTACCAAAACTGTGTTTTAACCCTAAAACGACAACAAGCACTGCCACCCTTTTTATAAATAAATAAATAAATATACATTTATATAGCGCCATTTTCCACTAATTGTCCATGGCGCTTTACAATACTTTAAAATTAAAATCCTAATTCTTTAA